TGTGTGTGCATGTGTGTGCGTTTGTGCCTGTGTTTATGTGTTGATTGTGGTATATGCAAAAAGACGGAGGAGAGAGGGAGAGAGAGAGCGAGAGAGAGAGAAAGAGAGAGAGAGAGAGAGAGAGAGAGATGGAGGGGTGAAGAAAGCGAGAAATAAAGACAGATCGTGGGAGAGAGAGAAAGGGGAAGGATAGATGAGCAAGGGGGTTGGAAGAAGGGGCGAAAACAGGTGCAAAGAAATGTCCGTCTGCCTCATCATCTTTGTTCATCCTGTGTTCCTGACTATTCTTCTGTGGCACAACACATACACAGTGGGTGGTTGGCGGGTGCTCTGGTGTGGTTTGTTTCTTCTTTCCTACCAAACATCTGTCGTCCTTATATCTCCCCTCCTTCTTTTTTATGCTTGTTACTCTCGTGTAACACCTCTAATCTTCTGGCGCTCATATGACCTTATGCCGTTGCGAGCGCCGTAAAACCTCTATTAAAACAACAATAACACATACACAATTGCTCTCCTCTCTTCACCTCAATTATATTCCAACATTGGTAGTGTAATGAACTTGGTTAGATTGAAGAATACCGGATCAGCGGACTGACTTTGCCTATGTCTCAACCTTACGATTTCATAATTTTCCCGTTTTTAATATCTCTCAATGGAGAATCTCAGACCGGTAGATCTATTCATTAAAATTTTTTCAGGGGGGAGACCCCCCTGAAACCCCCTCCCCCCTCCTCCATCCCAACCACCCGCCCCACCTATCCCACTTTCTCGCGCAATAATGTACGAGTGGTCCGGTATTCTTCAATCTTCCCATGAACTTGAGCTATATTCTCCTTTGGGGCAGCTAGACAATCTGCCTGCCCACTATCCGTCTTTTTCTCTCGACATACCCCGGCTGGCTCGACTCTTGAATGCTCGAACTTTTTTGAAGTGTGGGAAATTGTGTTGTTTCAGGGTACCACTGGTCGTTCGTAATTTTTGTCTTTCCTTCTGTAGTTTCGGTCTGTCCGCCTTAGGCTTATTTGTGTCCTAATACTAAAAAAAAAAAGACCATTATTGTCTAGATGTATTTCTCTTTACTCAAACAAACAAACAAACAAACAAGTGTGGGAACAGACCATGAGACAAACGTCATTTGGAAGGGCAGTTACGAGCTTTACTGTCGAAAGCAGAAAAACTGAGTTCCATTATGCTGTTGGGAAGTTTCCCATCGAGTATCTTCATCAGCCTCTTGGCAGGTTGTATCCGTCTCAGCTGGGATCAGCCCTGACATGCAGGGATGAAGCAGCCAGTGTCGACGCGAGTACCAAACAACTACAATTACAAATACAATTTACAGTAACGCTTACAATAAATTTTATATCATTATCGTTCCTTTAAGTTGCGCTAGTAAAATCGTCCTGCACTTTCGTCAAATTTGTAAAATGTAGGGCCTACATGAATGGAAAGAATTCTGCAGTCTGACGCCTTTGAACTAACATGGCATCTTTTGTTGTTAGAGGGGAGGGGTTGTTGTTGTGTTGTTGTTGTTTGTTTTG